ATTGGACCGATTCAGTGAATCGATCCCAAAACTCTAAGGATCGGACTTATTCACATTAAGGCAAATCACTATATAGTGAAAAGATGTTTATTAACGATATATTCCGTAATTGAACTACAGTTGCAGTTATTAGATTATAGCTAATTGCATCGATTCATTTCGACTGATGATAAAAATTAATCGATGTCATTGGCTGAAATTTAATAAGTGCAACCGGGGTTCAAATACGGAATATGCCTTAAGATGTATGTATGCTATTTTGTAACGCATCCTTATGTTATTCAGGTGGCATTATTAACCATTCTAACGGTAATAATAACAGAGATCAAAGATTGTGTTGTCTGTTTTTTTTAACTTTGAAGAAAAAAGGGAAGCTGGAAATAATGTTTCTTATTTTTCCATTTCAATTATGCTATAATTATGTACTCTAAAATCGACTACAGAATCGATTAATGGGAAATCGACCTCTTAGTGCCCAATTTAATTGTCAATCGATGCTGTTACATTTGATTCGAATCGATTTTTTTCAGGAAGAATCGATATCCCTAGTTCAGACTTCGAGAAAAACATTACGATTAGAAAAAGACCAGTTAAGGGTAACGCATGCAGTGAAGAATATTACGTCAAAGAATATGATTGACCACCATAGGCTCCAGAACTAAGAATGTTTAGTTTCTCAACGTAAAACCGTTACTAAAGTAGAAAAAGAACATGACAATCACTTATCAGTGAATAAACCTTAAAATCCCTAAATTAAAGAAAATAAACGTTTCTACTATTAAATAAGTTCTCTTGCCACAGTTATCAAAACTAGGGAAAGTATTCAAATTGTGCATTTTGGAGTGCAGGTTAGTCGCTCTAAAATATTGATTTGCGTGGAATCAATCAGCTCTCAGAAATGTTAATACTGTAAAAACATTGCTTACTACAGAAAGAAAATATTAAATAAGGTGTATGCCGACTAAAGTGTATGTAAGTGGGCATACTTGGATTGAATTTAGAAACTTCTTTTAGAGTATAAACGTATGTGCATATTCCTCGAAATAAGAAAATGTTGGTCCTGAAAAGGACCGGTTTTATTTTATAAGCCTTCGGTATTTAGGCACGTTCTCCACGAATACGCCGAGCCAACTGGATGTCCTTTGGCATGATGGTGACACGCTTGGCGTGGATGGCACACAAGTTGGTGTCTTCGAAGAGGCCGACGAGATAAGCCTCGCTAGCTTCTTGAAGTGCCATCACGGCTGAACTCTGGAAGCGAAGGTCCGTCTTGAAGTCCTGAGCGATCTCGCGAACCAATCGCTGGAAGGGCAGTTTGCGAATGAGCAGCTCCGTGCTCTTCTGATAGCGACGAATCTCACGCAGAGCGACGGTTCCTGGTCTGTAGCGATGAGGCTTCTTAACTCCTCCGGTAGCTGGTGCACTTTTACGTGCAGCTTTCGTAGCCAATTGCTTCCGAGGAGCCTTTCCTCCAGTTGACTTGCGAGCAGTCTGTTTCGTACGAGCCATGTTCAGCTAATATGTCTTTCACTGTGAGCGTCGATAAAACTTTACACCATAAAATTCAAATGCGGTATGACAGCGTCAACTTTGGTCACTGACTTATAGACTCGACTGATTGTTGAGCTCGACGCTCATTGGCCAGTCGGTAAGTGGTGGGGATACGCATAGGAGAGAGGATAAATACCCCTTGAATCTTAGCTATTGCATCAGTTCTACGGAATATTTCTTAAAGAGGGTTTGGATTGAATTTCGTTGGTGAAAATGACTGGCCGTGGTAAGGGAGGAAAAGGTTTGGGAAAGGGAGGAGCGAAGCGTCACAGGAAAGTTCTTCGTGACAATAGTATGCACTAATTAATTTTAATTCCTCACCTCTTTCACAAATTTAAGATTTAGATTATATTATGGCTTCCGTTCGAATAATAATACACCTAATATCTATTCCGTATAATTATTCTTGCAACAGTGTTTTTTAATGACCTCCATGTTTTATATGTTCGTCTGTTAAACACGAAGGTTTGGTCTAAAATTGGGATAGTCGTTAAAGTTCATCTTCGTTTCTTACACTACTCTTTAAAAACATGTGTGTGATATTAATATAAATAAAATACTGAACTAGCTTCCAAATTCTGGTAGCTTCTATGAGAGAGTTCGATTTATGAGCTTCAAAATATTTGGTTCTAGGATATTCCGATTATCTTGTATTTCAATGAATTAAATGTCCACTAAACAGTAAGAAGTTGAAAATGAAAAACTATCGTGTGGTGGAGGTGGTTGTCAATCGCATCAGGTCCAGACAGGGTTCACCCATAATCAGTAATATGTATTATAGATTCATCGAACGTGGTTGACGCTATACTAGGATGAGTGAAGAAAAGATGTGAAAGATTTTTGTTCGAATTTTAAACCTGTTCAATTTCTTAGTGGGAATAATCAATTGTATTTAAAGGATCATTTTGGTGCAACTCGCAAGTTAAGATGGTCTTTTGAATATTAAATTAACGTAGTTTAAGCATACTTTAGAAATAATTTAACACTAATATAGAAATATTAATCAATGATGGCATCAATTACATTGTGATCATTAAAGTAAGATATAACTAAGCTGAATATCTATACAATGTTTTGTGTATCAACACAGATAATTGTCTAGTATAGATAAAGTTATGGGTATGTAAAAACATAAGCAAAGACGACCGGTAAGGTCTTCGTACTTATAGTCTTGTCCATCGCCCCGGAATATCATTAAAGTAAGATATAACTTAGAAATAATTTAACACTAATATAGAAATATTAATCAATGATGGCATCAATTACATTGTGATCATTAAAGTAAGATATAACTAAGCTGAATATCTATACAATGTTTTGTGTATCAACACAGATAATTGTCTAGTATAGATTAAGTTATGGGTATATAAAAACATAAGCAAAGACAACCGGCAAAGTCTTCGTACTTATAGTCCTGTCCATCGCCCCGGAATATTTTCCACACGCATAGGTCCCCACGATGTAGCCGAAAATCGCGAAATTCCTCGTTTATTTTAAGGATGCAATAGCATTGGATAATTTAACTAACTTCGCAAAGAGTGATTTCTACAAAAGAGTAAGGGACTTACAAAAAATAATGTTAAATCCGAAAAAACGGAGAATGACGGACATACAGGACACACAAGAAACAAATAATCTAAAATCAAAAGCAGTGTGACAAATGCGGAATGCCACAATCGTATTGAACCACTGAGTGAAAATGAAGGAGGTCCAATAGACATATAATGTAATGAAACAGAAACTGGTAATATTTCAAAAGATAATACCAAAATGTCAATTAAAGCCACCAGCATTAGCACTACATGATAAAATAGAGAAGCATGCAACTTTTCTAAAATTATTTTCGTATATTTATCCGTATATTTATGAATACATTTCAATCCTGCCTTTTGGGTCTTATTTAAAAGGATTTTAGACCTTTCATCTACCATGTAAGTAAAACGAAGGATAAAAATCATTATGGCACCACTTTCGCAATTAGTAACCCCCAAATTGGAAGAGTAATCGGACCCGGAATATTTCACATGTTTCAAATTATATCCCAGTTTTAAGTAACACCATTACTTGTGAAGTATAAATTTAAAAAAGTAAGAAAAGAGAGGCAAGGACACGCGGTGTTCCCAAGCGGTCACCCATCCAAGTACTGACCGCGCCCAATGTTGCTTAACTTCAGTGATCGGACGAGAACTGGTGTATTCAACGTGGTATGGACCTTGCCTGTAAATGTAGAAAAACAAATTGTATTTCATAGCATGCAGAATGACAAATAACTATATTCTTTAATATTATGGTTCATTACTATGATCATTAGCAACCAGGAAAAAAGAAGGCCGTGCGAACTGTTACACCGTTTCAACTTGTGATTTGACAACGATCATATTGTGTTATTCTTCTTTTGCTAATAGAATTCTTCTACGAAACTTTGATATAACACTGGTATTTTAATGTTTTATGTAAATAATTAATTTTTATATCACCTTGCATCGTTACTATAGGTATTAGTATCTGCATACCTTTCATCATGCTTGCATTAACTACTTTTTTATTCTGTTTCTCGGGTTCAGTTTTCAACTCCTCGTATCTGGATATCTTCATGAAGTCTTGACAACGTAAGTTTTCTTTTTCTCGTTCTTTCAAGTGAATGTCTGAAATTTTATTTTTTGTCCATTTTCCTATAAGCCTCAGACAATCATCTCGATTACTTACATGTACCTCTGTGTTTCCTTCCTGATATTTTCTATAAAAATTTTCTTTGACAACGTTCTTCAGTACATTTAGAAAAGTTGCATGCTTCTCTATTTTACAATGTAACGCTAATGCTGGTGATTTTTTGGACATATTTTAATATATTTTGAAATATGATCAGTTTCTGTTTCATTACATTTTATGTCTATTGGATCTCCTTCATTTTCACCCAGTGGTTCAATACGATTGTGGCATTCCACATTTGTCACACTGCTTTTGATTTTAGATTATTTGTTTCCTGTGTTAGATATGTCCGCCATTTTCCGTTTTTTAGAATTTAATATTACTTTTTGGAGGTCCCTTTCTCCTTTGTAGAAGTCATTCTTTGCATTAAGCATTAACCTAAGGCACTTGTTTTGAAATATTTCTAGAGGCTTAACTCTTTAATACCTGAATTACAAAAAATATTACAGTGAAATGAAATCAGTTCTATCAGGCTTCTACCAGTAGTACTCTGCAATCTTGGCGGCAGCACTTGTGGCTTCATCGCAATCAAACTTTGTTTGAATCCTTTCGGATCCGCTTAAATGTTTCAAAACGCACAAAAAAGTTCTTACGATGGAAATTAATAGAACTTTGAAAAATAGTCTTGTCCATCGCCCCGGAATATCTTCCACACGTATAAGTCCCGACGATGTAGCCGAAAATCGACAAATTTCTCGTTTATTTTCAAGATGCAATAGTGTTGGATAATTTAACTAACTTCGCAAAGAATGATTTCTACAGAGGAGTAAGGGACTTCCAAAAAGTAATATTAAATTCAAAAAAACGGAGAATGACGGACATATCTAACACAGGAAAGAAATAATTTAAAATCAAAAGCAGGTTGACAAATGTGGAATGCCACAATCGTATTGAACCACTGGGTGAAAATGAAGGAGATCCAATAGACATAAAATGTAATGAAACAGAAGCATGCAATTTTTCTAAATGTACTAAAAAACGTTGTCAAGGAAAATTTCTATAGGAAAATGGACAAAAAATTCAATTTCAGACATTCACTTGAAAAAACGAGAAAAAGAAAACTTACGCTGTCAAGACTTGATGAAGATATCCGGATACGAGAAGTCAAATACAGAACTCGAAGACAGAATATAAAAGTAATTAATGCAAGCATGATGAAAGGTATGCGGATACTAATACTAATAGTAACGATGTAAGGTGATATAAAATTAATTATTTAAATAAAACATTGAAATACCTGTGTTATATCGAATTTTCATGGAAGAATTCTATTAGCAAAAGAAGAATAACACAATATGATCGTTGTCAAATCACAAGTTGAAACGGTGTAACAGTTCGCACGGCCTTCTTTTTTCCTGGTTGCTAATGATCATAGTAATGAACCATAATATTAAAGAATATAGTTATTTGTCATTCTGCATGCGATGAAATGCAATTTGTTTTTCTAAACTTACCGGCAAGGTCCATACCACGTTGAATACACCAGTTCTCGTCCCCAGTCTCGTGCGGACCGTAGTAAGGAGCGGATGTGCTCAGTGCGG